GAATAGATAAAATCGAACTAGTAAATCTCTGTGGGAACGATACTTGAACTCTAAAATCCATTTTATTACTTGAACGATCCGTACACTTGCGGTAGTGTTTATTCGAAACATAGTTTCGATGATCATTACTCTCCACCGTAGGTCCATAGTCGATAAGCCAAGGTACAAGTCATGCGCCCTAGCATTGGAAAGGCCAGCGATTTCGTGTATTTTCTTGCGTTTATCGGAGGCTTTGTCTGAAAAATGTTGAGCTATTATTGGGTTTTGTTAAAAATCAAGTTTTTAGAAGATTTTGATTTTTAAAAAATTGTTGAAATATTTGGTTGAAAAGTTGATAAAAATTATGAATCCTATAAAATGTTTGATTAATATTATTTGTTCTCAACTTGTGAAAAGAATCTAGCACGAAATTTGTTCTATCCACACATGAAAGTGAGTATTTTGTTAATAAATCCCCCACATGGCCACAAAGGTCGTTAAGGCTAGCTATGTCAACGAGTCGAGTTGAGTCGAAAAAAAAAGTTCGGGCTGAACTCGAGCTTTTTGGGTTTAAGCCGAGCCGAACAAAGCCCGGCCAAAAAAATGAGGCTCGGCCCGAGCCTTAGTGGGCCAAGCCGAGTAGGCTCGAGTTTTTTGAATTTTTTTTTAATAAAAAAGCAACTTGCTTTGTTGTCTTTGCAGGCAACTAAAAATAGCTGCCTATAAAGGCAGGTTGCTACCACAGGCAGCTACTGCCTTGTGGCAACAAGCCACTTGCAGGCAGCTGTTTTAAAAAAAATTAATTTTGATTTTCTTTTAATTAATGGGCAGGCTCGCCCTGATCACGGGGTTTGGCCTGAGCATCGGCTCGGTGTAACCAAGCCCGAGCTAGGCCCGACTCGGGCTTTTTTCGGGTCGAGCCAGAGCCGACGAACTTTTTTGTCATCCCTAGTTAAGGCTACGAAGGGCCTGCTTAACGATTTCTTTGAAAAGTTAAAAAAAGAAAAAAAAAATTCAACATGTTCTAATAATTTTTTGAAATTTTTTTGATCGAAAACTTTTAAATAAAGTTGAGCTTCTAAAAAATAGTTTTACAATAACCAGATGGACATTATGTCAACGAAGAACCCATGAAAAATCGCATTTACCTCCCGTGACATTATTTGTAATCAAAAGTCAACAAATGTTTAATTAATCATTCGTTAAAACGGATTTATCATAATAAAAAATAGATTTATATTTTAGAAAGAACAAATAAAATGCCCGATTTTCAAAGAAAAATTTTCTATACAAAATAAAGGAAATATTTATTATTCTAATAAATGATACTCTGTTATCGAGCCGGAAAAGAAAATCTAGCGCGTTTGACTTACCATAAAAAATTACGGTATATGTTCAAGTACATGAATTTTTTCACAGAATTTTTACAGCAGCACCTGATTTGTAGACAGTTTTTTTTCTTATCATCCGTCATTCAATCTTTACCATGTGAAATCCTGTAGAGTTTCTGTGAAAATTTTTCTAGACACGTTGCACTACTCAAAAAATTAACTTCCTCTTTACTTTCAAGATAAAATTACCTATTTTCACAAAAAATTTAAAAAAAAAAAAACAAAAATGTTATTATATATATACACGATATCTTCAATTTATCGTGATACGAGAACTCATGAAACAATACAGTATAAAGTCAGAGGAGTCGGAGTGCGTGATTTTCATCATCACATATACCAACTTGTTGTACGACAGAAGAAACAACAAACACGCCCTCAACAGTCGTGAAATACGATGTTAACCTGAGAAAGTAGATTAATGACACTTAATTAAAGGGATTAGCACGTTATATAACACACTCAACTCGCATGGCTCATCATTATTTGCATGCTATTCACACTATTCAATCATGATTTTCCACCCAAATGAGTGCAATCATCTTGCCGGCTTGGACCTCTACAATTACTTTTTCGACTTCATTACTTTCTAAATTAAAGTTAGTAAGTGATCGATGCAATGCAAAATTGTTCGATATTAACTAATTGGGATCGTCTAGATATAAATTTGCGTTGCTGATGATATAAAAAGATATTTTCAAGACTCTAGATTTAAGATTAGCCAATGTGATCTATCAATGGTGATGAAATTCGAGATAATCAGAATTTCTTTTCGTTGACTTTACGTCACGTGTTATTATTAGTTAACTTGTTTTTTTAAATCATTTCGAAATTCAAAGTAAGACATCGCGTCGCTCTTCACTCGTAGAACAACTCCATGGTAAACAAGTGTACTTAATAACAAGCTACTATTAATTTTAACAAGTCTTTATGTTAAAGTTGGTCTTTAATGACTTTCATGGGTCTAATATTTTTCTACTTTACGTGGTGGGAAGCACAAGTCAGGTAGCAACTGCACGACATTAAATGACAGATTCACTTAAATATAATATCATACGATTCATTTAGTTGAATCTATCAAGTGTGGCCACTTAAACTGTTGTTTTGTAGTTGAATCTATCGAGTGTGACCACTTAAACTGTTGTTTTGCACCACTGATAATAAATAATATTATTTTATATGAAACATGATTTTATCACGTCACCTAGTAGGCCAAGATGCCTCGTCATTCTGGATGTAATAAATAACTTATATCCTCTTTTATATTTGTTAACCCATATGAATAAAAAAAATTAAGTTTGACATTTGGATAAATTATGTAATGATTTATCACGTATTGTCCCTTCTAAATTAATTCATAATATGTGATATTGCCCCCTTCTAAATTAATTCATAAACTATTTGGAATGGGGAATAAATTAGAAAGGGAAAAAAAATTATGCATATAATTGATGACAGCTTCTGCTTTGTCTAACAATATTACAACATTATTTTGGATTTCTTTTTAATATATACATTTTGATGTGTACACTTATTTACTCCGAAATTAATATAATCCAAATATTTTGACAACACAAGTGACAATTGCTTGACAACAATTGTGTATTGTTAATAATGAACGATTGTTAATAATGAACAAGTTTGCCACTCTTCTCCCACTAATCTTATCAGAAAGCAGATAAATGTTACACCTGAATGTGGATTCTGTGATGCGAGGGCAAAGGATTTAAATCATATTTTCTTGAGTTGTCCCTCTAAGGTTGATTATTGGATAAGGTTTCTCCCTCTTATGTCCCAAGTTGACCGAAGCCGAGATTTATTTGAGGCGGTTATGCAGATTAAAAGGGTAGGCGGCAAAGAGGCCCTGAGCTTGTTTTTCACTCTTGCTTCCAGTATATGGCTGAGCAGAAATAAAAAACTTTACGAAGACGAGAGTTTAAACATGAGCTCTACCATAGAACATGCTATTTCGATGCTACATTTGTTTGACGGGGTCAAAACTCAATCGAGCTCTGCTTTGAATAGCTTTTGTGCTTGGAAAGCTCCTCCGACAAATTTTTTGAAACTGAATGTAGATGGTGCGACTTTTTGTCACCTTCACAAGGCGGGGATTAGTGTTGTTCTAAGGGACCAAGCAGGAAAGGTGTTAATGACTGCCTCAAAAAGAGATTGGGAAGTGGCTGATCCAGAAATGATAGAGTTTCTCGCAGTACTTCGAGGGCTTCAGCTTATTATGCCGATGGGAATCTCTCATTTAGTCATTGAATCAGATTGCCTCTTAGTTGTTTCACAGCTCAATGACGTCGAATCTATTACCACGTCTCCTTGGGGCTCAATCATTGCTGATATTAGACGCCTTTTGTTTTCCTTTATGGATGTAACAATATGCCATGTTAGTAGACTAGGGAATGGGGTAGCTCATGAACTAGCTAGACATGCGTGGGAAGTGGAATCCATTCAGATGTGGTGGGAGGGATTTCCAGACTTTATCTCTCAAACTATTTGGCTTGAAAGTCATCTGTAATCGTTGATTCTCTCATGAATGCAATTCCTGATTATCAAAAAATAAAAATTAAAATTAAAAAAAAAAATAATAATAATAAACGAGTTTGAGGCCAACATAGTGAAATAGTAGATATTAGCGATAGCAACGATGATCAACAACTATGGCCGTTATCTTAGTATAAATAATATCATTTATAACAGTATGATTTATAATGACTTAAAATTTCCTTATAAATCGTGCAATACAAGGTATAAATTTTTGTATTGTTTATGGTATAATATGGAAACTTACTACAATAACATTTTAATAAATGCTTGTATTATGATACAAACACAAGTATTTTTATAGCATACCGAGTTATAGTCGAGGAGTCAGACATTCTTCATTGTGGAATCAAAAATTAAGTTACAATTTTTTTTTTCAAGCAATATAACTTTAATGCAAATAATTGAATACTTTACTACAAACATTGTCTACATATTTTCATACTTTGAAATAATTGTATAATTACGTCTTTATCGATATTATCAAATGCATAGACATCAATATACACAATTAAACTATTATCCAACCGTCAAAACTCCAATCCAATTGTGTGGTTCAAACTTTGGGTTGAAGGCCTTGAGGAGTCTGGTATTGGGGTCGAGAAAAAACATGATAGATCGTCAATGTTGATATATACAAAGATTCACGTAAAAAACTTCAAGAATCAGAAAAAAATTCACGAGCTATAAATACAAAAATCTGTCACTATATGAAAACTATTCCGACCGTATATAAGATTGAGTATATTGCTACAGAGAAAACATCGAGAAAATATTTTGATTGAGAGTAATACATATCAATTGCTCTTGTTTTAGTTGAAAGATTTACCTTATCCTCTTTTGATTTAACCTTGTTAGGGCCACGGTTCCTTTAAAGAAAAGATGCCGTCTTTTTAGCAATTTCCCAACAACAATTTCATATTAGGGCAATCAATCAATCAATCAAAATTACTTCATAGTAAAGTTCGATTTCTATACATTATAATCTATAATCAAAAGTGGGGTTTATTATTTTTTTACTTCATTTTGAAGATGAATGATTTTGAAGAGGTTGATGTGTTAAATTGTCAATTAATTGTGTTAAATTGATATAATTTTCCACCTGAAAAATATTAAAATTTTGAATCTTTTGGTGTCTGTTTGAGTTTGTTTTCCATGGAAATTATTTATTAAAGGGATATAATTTGTTACAATTGAGGATATAATTTATTCAATTGCCCAAAAAAATGCCTAGAAAACTAAAAACTACCAAATCGATGGAAAAACCAATTCAAGGAAAATGTGGAAAATTGGGTCACTTGAGGTATAAGTTGGAAAATCAATTGCCTAGAAAATTTTTCCTATCAAACAGTCTAAAAGGTGAAAAATGGAAAATAATTTCCAACTTAGTATAAGTTGGAAAATCAATTGCTTAGAAAATTTTTCCTATCAAACAATCTAATATGTGGAAAATGGAAAATAATTTCCATCTTCCATAAAAAATTCTTCCTATCAAACAGGGCCTTAATGATCGGTTTGACATGACATTTGTTTTTTTTTCTTTTTTCATGGAAAAACTTCTTAGAGAAGCTATCTTAAACCAATTTTCTTTATAAGTTTTTGTAGTTAGATAAAGTACTTTTTAAAAAATTATCTTCAAAATCAAATTTTTAATCTTAAAATAATTTTTTGCCTTTTCAAAATTCTACCAAATGGACCCTAATTATTTCTTTGTCAAACATTGAGGCCGAATCTTTATTTCAAGTCAGAGCTCACCATCTGATTTGAGAGGCGTGAAGCCAATATTGATAATTATTGTTATTAGTTAAGATAATGATTTGTAAATAATTATCACTAATCCTATATTGTAGCTTTTACGTGGTTAGGGTTTGGTTGAAGAGTATTGCATATTTGGTTGCCATTTTGCTTTCCAAGCTTCGAAAGCGTTCGATTTTAGTATCAACATAGTTATAAAGTCTCGATGTAACTACTATTAATACAACATGTCTTGCTTCCTTTTTAAGTATGTGCTTCACAGCAATTTCTATGATAAAAATTGTGGATTCCGTGAAATGTTGATTAAAAATGAATTTTAAAAAATGGAAGTCAAATAGGACATAGTGCTAATTTAAGTTAAATCACTCTTTACTTATTCATTAGTAAACTTTTAATAGTTCTATTGAAGTGTTTGGCGACTTACTTATATAGTTGATGACCTCGGTGAGATGATATTAATAAGCTAACCGTGTTACTTATGAATGAAAATTTTGTTTCATGGTACTCATTTAAACGTTTTGAAACTCTTTTATTCTAGTCCATCCATTTATTCACCAATTCAATTATCCCCAAACTCTTTTAAGGACTTAATTGAAATATTTTTAAAAAGAAAAAAAAAATTTTGACCATCCTTTTGACATAAGATTGGTAACTAAGCCTCCGTTTGACTGTTAATTTATAAATTCAGTAAAAGTCAAATATTAATTTTAATCATATATTCATAACTATTACTCATTTATTATCTACACATTTTGTGAAACTCACTACTGTTCTTCTTACTATTACTCTTTATAAATAATTTATAAATTTGTCAAACAGAGACCAAAATGACATTTATAAAAGAGAAATGCTACAAGTACAGGGTGTCAGGTTACACACATGAGGGGAGGGGGGCACATTTTTTTTATACATGGGGTGGGGCCCGCCGCTACAGTGAGGGACCTGTAAGGCCCTGTGAAAAAACTGTCATGTACTCAAGACATAATTCTTCATAAAATTGGCGAGCAACATAGTGTTTAGGGTAAATTTAGCCAGGGTTTCTAAACTTGTGACCACAGTGTCTTATTCTTAAAGTTGGATCGGAAACTTTTCTTTTCGTGAATTAAATCCAATTAACTATTTCATATTGTCACCAAACAATATAGCCCATATATTATGGGTTTAGGTTGTGGACAGCCCAACGAAGGTCCAGTGGATCCAAACCTCGACAAACTCGTACTTAGAAGGGGAAAAAATCACATATAACCAAGATAATATAAACAATTCATGAAATACTATAATCCACTGAATAATAAATTATAATAAAGACAATGTAAAGGTTGTTATATTATGATTAATGTTTGATAATGCTGGTTACATTATTACTACTATGGTCCCATTGGTTTAGATAAATTTTTTTATTAGATAATGATTAATTTATTGTTTATTACACACAAATGAATAAAATATAGAAATACTTACAACTTAAAGTAATAAAATAAAATCCCATCTTGATAAAACCCATGAAAGATACTACAATTTTACATAGCTGCATATATGTGTTTATTAATATATACTTTGTATATTTCGGTAAATCTAGAAATGATAAACAGAATATGATTCATGTAGTTGATTTCAAATTTATAAAAGACAGTTTTTTGTGATTATTATATTTCGTGGATGTGTCATATAGGAGTTTGATGCATCTTGTCTCGAGCTTGAACTCACAAAAACCAAAATGAAAATAATTAAGCCCTTGTTTGGATACAATTTATAAATTATTTATATTGATGATTAAGACCGATGCGACAATTATATATCGATTTAAGAATGATTTTACAAAGTAATAGTGTTTAATTTGTTAGAATAGTATCAAAAGATAGGAAATTTTTTTATTGAAGAATGTTTTAGTAGTGTGTTATGTAGGTTTCTTCTACCCGGCCTTCATTAAGGGACCATTGTCCCTATTTATAAGTCTTTCAACATGTGCTTGTCAAGCTACGGTATTTGGCCTCAATCGTGTGCCACCGTATGAAGATATATGAATGGGTGTTGAGTTCGGCTAGCCAAATCATTATTTCAACTAGGACGTAGTCTGTGACTTATGTTATTATTACTTGCTACCCAGGCAATCATTACTTCCATTTGATTGGTGGAAGGTGTAGTGCTGACTTCAAATGTAACACTTGTTTTTTTTTATTGATTGTTGTGAAATATCAACTAAATTGAGGGACATTTTTTCAATTTGATCATGATAATATTTCTGATTACGGCAGTCTCGTGACCCAGCCAACTGGACTGGCGTCATGATTTGGAAATCTCATAATTAAGTCTTTAATCACTTTTGAAATAGGTTCTTTATAGTGATTAAGATCGGATACCAACAATTTATTATCGATCAAATCATTCTACATCCACGTATTTTGTAAAACTTACAAATTACTACTCTCTTACCCATCACTAATTTCTATACCGCGAAATAATTTGTTCATATTGTTTTTTATTACTGTTGCTTCATGCAGAAGAATACTTCGTATGTCATTGATGATGTTTGGTTCTTCTCGTGAACAAGTCAAAATGTTGAATTTTATTTTAAAATTCTGTTGCGCATTACCAAGATTTTCCAACTGCTGCTTAAACGTGTATTGTATATCTATATTGACTTTTTTCTATTCCATCATGAGATTCTTGTTTCCAATTAAATGCAAATTCTCCTCCTTTGTCAGTCTTGTACAAATTTCACACGTGATAATATCATGCTTTTATCGTGTCGACTCAGTCCAACATAACAAACATGCTTATAAAATTGCGTATATTTTTATTTGCGTAATTGGCATTAAAGCGATATATTATGATACCCTTTTTCTTGATTTAAGGCTCAGCTTTTTTTATTAAATGGAGCTTCGATAGCATATTCGATTCGGAGATTTTCAAAAAAAAAAAAACGATTTGAATATGGCTCAATTTATTTTCTGATTGCTGCCAACCCTATTGCATGGCTACGCGCAAATGATGTAAATGCAACGACTACTATCCAACAATGCCCAATTGCATCAACTCTTCTAGAAATCGCCTTTGACTTTAGATTTGATTCTCTACACACGATTTTGTTGAGTTTTCTTTGGGACAAAAATCTGCTGCTGTATTTTGACCTGCAAATTTGTTCTCTGGCCAAGCGACAAATCACCCTTCAACGCATAGCGTTCTTCACACGTTCGGACACTGCGATCTTCGACTTTATTTCCCCGCAAAATTCGTTTCGTGGTCGAAATGGAATTGGCCATGAATTCATCCCCCTGGCCAAAAATGTGGAAAAGTATTATTTTAATCTATATTTTCATCTTTATTACAAGTGGAATTTATCTCTTAATGAGCCATTATCTTATTGGGCATGATAATGAATAAATCTCACGTCAAAAGAAAAATAAAAATGTAGATGAACACATAAGGCTATGTACTACTCTTAATAAAGTTAACATTCCATTAAACTCAAACGAATAATTCAATCAGATTAAGACTCAAAAAATGAGCACATGAGTTTCAAAATTAGTTTGCTCAAACGAGCCATCTCTTGTATACATAGTTGTAGGCAGCTATGCAACTTGTCACGTGTAGGCAGCTATATTTTTTTAAAAAAAATTAATTTTTTTAATGAAACTGGGCTGGCTCGGCTATTTCGGGCCGAAAATGGCCCGTGTCCCGAGCCACACGGGTAGCTCGGGCCGAGCAGATGGCCCAAAATGGGGCTCAGCTCGGCTAGGGCTTTTCTCGGGCCGTCCGAGCTAGTGAACCACTTTGACACGCCTAGAGCAGCATATTAAGGTTTGATGTTTTCCACGTGAAATTTATTACTTAACATTTTGGACTTGTATTTTGTCCTTAATAAAAATAGGAAATTGGACCATAAAAATTCATGGGATTGGGTCCTTTTAGGTAAGATGAAATAAGTCAATAAAAGGAGCGTCAGCATCAAATTACTAGTTCCAAACACGACGGCCTAAGAGTTGATCGTATATTAATTAAAACTAAACCAAACAAGTTTGCTTTGGACATCAAAACTTTAAATAGGTCACGAGATGTCAGTCAAGAGATACCAAAACCACAAGACATTGTCTGAATATTTATTATTTACTTGAGTTGTTTGTTCATGAATCTAATAAACCATTTCACTTATTAGATACCTAACACAGTTGTAATTGCATCATCCTCCAACAAATCATACAATCAATTAACTTAACATTTAGGTACCTTATGCAACACTTTTGTCACCTAGTATTTGGTCAACTATGAATTGTTGCTTTCCATGATCACTTAATTATCTTCGTGAATCTTCTATCGTCATTTGATTCGATAAAATATTTTTTAAAGAAATTGGACTTTTCACGATCGTGTTAGTTGTGGTCTTGTTACGATCATGATGGTGCCTCGATCACCGAAGCACCATCATACAACGAAATGCGCATAATCTTAATACTTGGCTAGAAAAAAGAAATAGGAAGCTTCGGCAAGAAAAAGGACTGAAGGCCTCGGATATCGACGGAAACCTTTACTGCAAATTCTAACTAAATCGATCTAGACTTCAATACATTAAATTCGTGTATGCACACAACTAATTGCTCGAGTGTCACAAAGCCCAAAGCTCAATGAAGCCTAGGAAATTAAATCGAAATAACTTTCAAAATAATAATGAGGAAATGTTAAAAAGTAGTTTGAATTTGACTTATTTATTTTTCAAGTAGATGTTTAAAATTTCTTCTTGGAGTCCAATTTGAATCCAGCTTTAGTGGATTAGGTAATTCACGTTATACATATATAGCCAAACTAAATAAATTTAGAATATGTATTCACTATTAAGGCTCTGTTTGAGTTACATTATTTTTCTCATTCTCATTCTTCTACTCATTTTTTAATAAAATAATATTTTTCATCACATCAATAATTTTTCATTTTTTTTCAACCACATATTCCCTATTACATCAACAGTAAAAATGCATTCTTACTCCCAAAATGTGCACCAAACAGGGACTAAACCAATTTTACAATATTATAATTTTGAAAGCTCGATAATGTAAAGTTTGAATCTCTCCACAAGTCTTCATATAAGTCCCAAAAGTCGTGCCTTGGCAAGTTGGAGTTGATAAACACAATCATAAACCAAACGCGCTAATGCTTAGTCATTTGACAAATTGCATTACTCTTCAACCCTATTAGCTGCATGTTTTCTCACTAATAATGTCAACAAATATCTTGATACGAGTTGAAAGCGATGATCAATGGAATGATCATAACGTGTTTGATACGTTGGACTGAACACAATACAACTGAACTAGTTGTGATATTTTTCCGGTGTTTTAACCAACAACTTAAATGTTCGAGAATGGTTAGACATCACTAAACAATATTATGACATGTTCGATTTGATGAATTAGGCATGAGCGTATAGAATCATATATTAGAACTAATCTTTATATTTGCCTAGTGTTTTGTCGCGAAGTTATGCACATGTTAAACTACACTAGACGGTATTATTTATTTTAGTATTCAATCACGTTCATTGTTCGATACGCTAACAAACGTGTATTATTCATCAATGTTTGGGACTCAATTAAATGACTAAGGCTATTTATCTATGGTCGGTCTACATGGCAGTGTGATCACTGTTACATAAATTGATGATACTCTAGATAAATGACATTATTTCAATTAAATAAAGAGTCTCAATTTTAATATACATGTCATTTAAGTAGTATCAAACGGTACTAATTACTCCACATTCTAGAAGTGTTAGAAATTTTTCCGTTTGAATAGAACTTCAATCCCTTTTTATCTATGAAGAAAACCCAAAACAGAAAAGTAGTAAATGCATTCAGTGGAAGCAGAAAATCTGGAAAACTTCAAATTCAAACTAAAGAACTACTCTCCTTAAATTCATTACTTCAGCCCTTTAATTGGTAGTCAGTTTCCACCAAACTTTTTCAAACTTAAATTGAAAAAATGTAAAGCAAATAACAATCAATCAGATGGAACAAGTCGAAGGAGCAGTTTCATATTTCAGCAATGAAACTGGAAAATTAAAAAATTAAAGAATTCTGATCAGTTTGCCACTCAGACAGTACCAAAATTTACAAAATCTTGAAAATATCATCATATTTCAAGAAGGTGTTATCAACATTTACAATCCCCACAAACTTATGCTAACATAGAACAGACTCTATCTTGATTTGGATCCTAATTTGTATCAAAGAAAAGTAGAACAAAAACAAAAATTACTTAACCTAACTTTCTTTCTTTTTTCGATTTGTATCCCTTATTATAATTCTAGTTGCATCGATGAACGCCATATCTTTCCTTCGAAAGAAATAATGATAATTGAGACATCATCGTGGTACTTCCGACGATCCCCTTGTGGAATATCAAGCAATTCATGAAAATCCATACCTGCAATACAGGAACTCATGGTGTAAGATTTAAACGCGCTAGACAGATAGTGATTATACCATCAGTTTATTAGAATCATACCAGCTTTTCTTGCAGCTCGAAATAGTACTTCTTCGATGAGATGTTGAGCTGGATCGCCCTCAGGAAACGTAGACATGAACATTTCTACTTCAGAAATGGCTTCTTCATTTGTGAAGTACTGGTAGAGGCCATCTGAAGACAAAATCAAAAATTTGTCTTCCTGGTCGAGTCTATGGTGACAAAGCGATGGCGAACATGATAAATAGGGGGAATTACCAACGTAGTCGATTTTGAACGTCTCTATGAGAGCATTGTTCCATTTGGGCTGTAAAAGTGAAGTAGATAAACATTAACAATCTTAATAAATGACTATGAAGGCAAAAATACAAGCAGATAACTTCCTCTTATTGCATAGTATATATGAATCCTGAGAATTGAGTACAAGCTAGAAATCAATTCTACCTGTTTGAGGAAACCAGCTCCAAAAGCACGAGTCACCTTCAACGAACCTTTCACTCTTTTGTTGAATACCGCCAAGGGATCATCTGGATGCTCAGTTCGAATCCTTCTAACTTCCTGAGACATGGAACTATACAAAATTTAGTACATGAACATTGAACAGAGGGCATAAAAACCAAACAATTATCCTTAAACTAGAGGGAACAAATATGTTTGTTACCTCTTTAACAGATGTACAATGATCCATTGTGAGCTGACAAGAACTCAAATTATGCATATTCTCAAATTCATCGCCGTAAAGCATCTCATCTAAATCCTTCCTCGGCCTCCCATCGTTCTCAGTCTTTTTTGCTAAAACTGCTCGACTATCCCCAACATTCATCAAGTAAACATCATCACCCTTCATCACCATCACCAGAACACAAGATCCCATCAAGGCCAACTCGGGTGTCTCCATTAGCATCATATCCGCGATTTCCAAATACGATGCCTCAGTCTTCCTCAGCGCTTCGGATAGAGCTTTCAACACCCCCAAATGGTTAATAGTATTATTTCCTCGAACAACATCAGCCTCCAAATTACTCAACTTCTCCCTCAATTTTCTATCCAACTCCACTCTTTCCTTAGTATCCAAACTCTTGGACATGAACGACTGACTATTGATGGTGTTTTAGACATAAACGACTGACCATCGACGGTGTTTTCGCACGATTCTGACTTGTCGAACCATAATAATCCGGTAAGCTCCTTGTAAACATTGGAATAAAGATTGTTTAACAAGAAATCAGTGGCATCAGGTCCACTAAAACCATCATAAATACCAACAAAAACACATCCATGTTCCTCAGAAATCACAATATGTACTCTATCTTCACCAGCTTTTCCCTGTGCCCACTGCACATTTTGACTCCCAAAGGATTCATTTCCAACATCATCATTATCATCAGATAAGCTCACTTCGCTACTCAAATTATTACTAGTAATAGTACTGCTATTACCACTATGAGTCCCACTAGAAATACCATTATTATGCTCATTATGATTCAATTCTTTAGAAAAACCCCGTAATGATTTTGATATCACCTTTTTCAAATTGTTAATCAAAGCCCATTTCTTGGATTTTGGCCTGTACCTCTGCAACTGATCAAATTGGTTCTCCAACGGGCCTGAAACGAAGCGCTCCATCGGGCCTGACCGAAATCCACGCTCCATCGGGCCTGAGCCCGGGACCGAATTCCTCAAGATCGGGCCTGACTTGACGGAGGTTATTGAATTCCTGGGAATTGGCTGGAGGGGAATAGAAGAGAAAAACTGGGAGCTTTCAAAAGCCGAGGCCTTATCGAGGGAGGTTGAACTAGGATACGGGAAAGGCTCAGTCGACAGAGGGGTGGAAACGTTGGCAGAGATGGAGGCGCCGGAGATAGTACGAAAAGCCGCCGTTTGAGCGGCGGGGATTCGCACAGAATCATATTGGATGATTTTTTGAGGTGGGTCGGGCGGTATGTAGACGAAGGAATGACCAAAGCCTTCATCAAGAGGGTCCGACAAGCACACGGCGATATCTTGACGTCGCCGAGAAATCTCTCCCGGGTCTCCGGCGAAACACAAACTAATCTTTGCTATTCCGTTGCCCATTTCTCAAGAAACCCACAAAACTATTTCCTATACAGAGCGAAAGAAAGAGGATTATATCAGAGTTGAAAAGGTTATAGCTGGAATATTGAATATGAATAAGAAAAGAAGAGTGGAGATATGAGGAGAAGATAAATGGGGAGAGAGAGAGATAGTTGACTTTGGAGATCTTAATATTAAATTTCGATTTGTTTAATATTCGATGCTTGTGGTTTTGTTGGGCAAAGGCGTTGACAAAGAATATGATAAAACAGTATTTGTATGTATGTGTATGTACACATTGGACTTTGAAAAGCAGGGGGTCGGGGTGGGAAGTGAATGGAATAGTGAAAAAGATGAAGGGTGAATACATTATAGAAGCAGCGGAGAAAAGTGGGGAAATTGAAAATAAAAAGTCAAAAAGGTTCCACTTGCACCATGCACTACAAGGTGGAACCCCGATTCGAAATCCCATTATAGATATTTGCTCTTACCATTTTCTATTTTTTGCATATATAAATCAATATTTTTGTTGCCAAAAATTTCGGGAAATTTTAATCCATATTTAGCATGTTATATTGTACGAGACTAATGTCTTTAAAATCTTGATTTGAGAGGAGAGGTCGAACAATTACATTCGAAACTAAGGCACTATTTGGTGGAAATTCTCAAAATTCTACAGTAAATCAATTCCCATTTTCAATCACACATTCTTCAATAAAATAATATTNAATTCTCATTTTCAACCACACATTCTTCAATAAAATAATATTTTACATCACATCAATAATTTTTTCTTTTTTTTCAACCACACATTTCCCATCATATCACTATTCAAAATCAATTCTTCCCCCCAAAAATCCCTCCCAAACAAGCACTAAAAGTCTTAATCGTCGTATTGAGATAAAGGCCCCTCTTCTAACTTAAGGGTCTATTTGATGTCAGCAGGGGCGGATTCAGGGGGGTCCTGGGGGCACATGCCCCTCCAACTTTTGAGTTTTTTTTATTTTTTTAAAAAAATATATATAAAATCATGTTTGGTATCGATTGAAATATAAATTTTAATCTAAATCAATATTAACAATTAATTTTAATTACATATTTCATGGAATCCATAACTATTTAACTTTTATCAAAATTTACTAAAATTTTGATTTTAATCTCCATCGAACATGGGCAAAATCACAATAAATTTTAATTTTTCTCTTTTTCTCTCGCTTTTAACAAAATATTAACTCTCCATCAAATAAAAACGAAATATTGCATTCTTAATACTATTTTGAAGTGTTCACAGTCTAGTTTTCTACGTCGTTAATGGCGTATGAAACTATCAATCGTAACAAAATTAGTATTTCAAAAATTTCGACAGCATGCTAACTTTAAAAAAATTTCGATGATCGAATCTACAAATTGCTTATGTCATCTCAAAACTTATTTCGAGAACTACATTATATGCATATCAAATAATCCAAACAGATATCGAAAATAGTTAAAAATGCGTTAAACGTGAGTTTAAAATAAAGACGTTTAACTCACATTTTCTTTTAAAAAATTCAATTATTTAATTAACATTTATTATTTTTGCAATATAAATTTCTCAATGTGATTTTCTTCCTTTTATTAGGAAATTTTATATGGAATATGACATAAATTTTTTTTGAAATTTTACATATGAAAAAGTCATATTTCATGTAAATTTTCGAATGCAAAATTACATGGGGTATGATTTTTTTTGGACGTAAATTTTTTATTGTAAAATTTCTCCCAATTTTTTTGCAAGTTCGATGGCGCCCCCCCTAACTTTAAACTTTTGCATCCGTCCCTAGATGCTAGACATGCTTATGGTCAAGCTATTTCAATTTATTCCTCGAAAATGATTTCGATTTAAGTGAGAGGATATTCACAATTTTTTGTCAAATTATAATTAAGTCTTACAATGATTTTATCCAAACAAAGACAGAGCCTAATTGTCAAAGGATGGGAATGTTTTATACATTATAATTAAGCTCTTGTTAATTTTTGTTCCATCTTAAATGATAAATATTGTTAAGATGAATGATTCAGACCCTTATATGTTGGTTTATATGTCGGTAATTAGTCGATGTGCGATTTATTGGAATTCTATCTTAAATGATCAAACTTGTTAAATAGGATAGCACAATTCCTCCTATGTTGAATTGTTGATCTATATTTTGATAATTAATCGATGTGAAATTAATCCATTAACAAAGGAAAACAAAGACTACTACAAAAAAACATGCATATGTTTCGTGGTTTGACTTTTAGAAAATTAATTTAGTTATTTCGTGGGTTATAAGGAAGGCTTGGTTTCAGGTGGTCAGAGTTTTAAAAGTTGACCTTTTACTAATAAATTCAAGTTGCCATTTGAAATTTTATTTGCAAGTTTGACGGACCTAATTTTTATTTTGTTTAAACTACATCCAATTTATGTAACATTAGTCACATTATTTAATTATTTATTTATTTAATCTCTATTTAACTCGATGAACCCTAAATTAATTTATAAATTTAAATGTAAATGCTCACATTATAATCATATATCGCATGTTTCAACTTTCAATAACTCGTTGATTGATCTTGTACGATTTTTATATATTTTGGAGAAGATGATTGCTTAGAAATAAACAATCATATATTTGTGTTTATGTTTTTATAAGTTACAAATGGTTGAGTTGGGCACTGGACCCTCAAATTTCTCAGTGGCAAACCTATATTCTTCTTGTTTTATGTGAAAATTTTGATTCGAATCGATTTACCAAATGGGACCACTCAAATTTCTTCATCTATTTTGGTTCACATCCCAAATATCAATCTATTTTTGGCCAACCTATAAGACAAAGTAATTTCGAATCGAGTTCAACTTCTCAAATTGGACCACTCAAATTTCTTTATCTATTTTTTCGCACATCCGATATATTTATCTGTTTTGGCCCACCTATAAGAAGTATTTGTTTCGAATCAAGTTCCCAAATTCTTTTTTATCTATTCTGTGCACATCCCTTATATTTATCTATTTTTGACCAACCTACAGGACAAATTAGTTTCGAATCGAGTTCCCAACTCCTCGAATTGGACCACTCTCGTTTCTTCATCTATTTTCATGCACATCCCACTTTCTTTTTCTCTATTCTTTCCAACCTATAAGAAAAATTTGTTTCGAATCAAATTCTCATAATGATTCCTAACGATTTTTTCTTTACTTAATGATTAAATCGTACCTCAAAGTTCATATCGAATCATATAACAATAATTTTTCTTTCGACCATGAAAAATGTAGTGTTGTGATTTGAAAAAAACTATTCGAACAAAAAGGAATACCCCACAAGCATTTGACTTTCTAAAAGTCAGTGGATCAAATTGCAACAAAAAATTATACACAAATCGGAAGCCGTGACGTGGTCAATAAGTTCTGTGTCAATTCAGTAGGTAACAATATTAATAAATTTAGAAGAAACAGTAACTTTATTTAGTTCATATTCTTCGATAGTGTGAATATATAAACATTATGCATGTTGGAGAGGAATTTTCTTTACATAAAGCAAAATATTCTTCACATTATTGCACAAAGTCAGAGCTCATCTCTAGTGTAAACAATAAATAAGTCGTTTTTGGCTCCATTTTTAATCACGGATAATCCTATCGAGTGTGTGTTTGAGCCACATTATTTTGGAAGAATATATTTTGAAATAGTGGATTGATGGAGAATGTGTGGTTGAAAAAAAATGAAAAGTTATTGATGTGAAGGAAAATATTATTTTATTGAAGAATATGTGATTGAAAATGAATAGAAAAATGAAAATGAAAAATATAATGCGACTCAAACAGGGGCCTAATGTCAATAATATTAGAGTACCAGTTTCAGTGGCTACAATTTATAAGTTCAATTAAACGAGACATATGATTTTATATTTAAATGAATATATCATTTAATGTCATATAATTATTATCTAGACTGGTGCTTAACACTAATGATGATGAATAATATTACTCTTTAATCACACGTTCTTCTGTTAAAATAATTTTATATGTGGAACCATAATTTTTCTTTATTTTTTAACTGCACATTTTCCCCAAAAAAAATATTTTTCATAAAATCTATTTTCACTCCTTGGTCCCATTTTTTAAAACTTCTTTTTGAATCTCATATTACATGAGAATCACAACGTTTCAACTTTCAACTACCTAATTCATTAACTTTATTAAAATCTATTAAAAATTTGATTTGTAGCAAAATCGAAGAAGAGCAAAAAATCTCTACCAATCAAGGGCTAAATATGTAATTCACTCGTATCTTGTGTGTGTGTGTGTGTGTGTGTGTGTGTGTGTAATACGAGTATTTTTTTCAAGATGAGTTAGTAATAAAAATTTGGTGTATAAGTTCAAAAGAAATACTTCGTATAAATATTTATAGAGACTAGTATACAACAATCAAGATTTTGGAAGTTGTCGGGATTAATTTCGTGTCAATTCTCAATTTCAATAATAATAAAGAAAATATTTGAAGTTCATATAAATATTTAAATTTTTTATTACAGTATTATATGATAAGAGTATAACACCTATTACGAATATATTATTGTAGAAAAGAGTCATTTTCCTAAGTTCTCAACATGCATGACGTATTTTTTAATTATTTGTACGTACTTATATACTACGCCTTATTTACCTGAAAAATTAAAATATTAATTGATGAGCTGAAGATTTAAATTTCAAATAATATTTAAACTAGTCTCTCTCTCTCTCTCTCTTTTTTTTTTTTTAATGGCGCTGACTTTAATTCTTCAATTCTTTTGAATTGGATCCAACTTCATAGTTTCTGGCTTTCTGGGCTGTTCTAGCCCGCTAACCAGTAGGCATAAGGCAATCAACCAAAAGAGTGTAGACAAAAAGTCCAAATACAAAGCCCAATAACCAAGAAGCGCTTTTAAGCCCGGAACTTATTCCTTGAAAATAATTATGATCTTGAAAAATCATTTTTCATCTTTACCTTGATAAAATGTCGT